CCACGAGCATACTTGCAGATTTATCACTTGCTATTCATTAGCAAAGTATGACGTTGCCACTTGCCAATAGCTCTTTCAGTTGCTCCAATCCATTCTTAAAGTCGAATCCCTCGTCACTTACGTACGTTACGTTGTCAATTTACATTACAATTATGGCGCCCATAATGTCATAGTTTATCGCCACTCAACCATACGTCATTTTCTTCAGAACTGAATCAGCTCATTGCTAACGCCAAATGTCAGTTGTTAAAGACCATCAAGCATTCAGGTTTGATGACACATTTTATCGTCTGGATACTAGGTAGATTGATTCAAATTATTAGTAGCATGAGATACTCGCAATGATTGCAACTGCTAGTGTACCTTCAAAGTTAAATGGTAGCTTAAACATTTTACATTTCCGTTGATCGTGCCCGTTTAGAATATTTATTGGTAATATCCAAGAGGGTATTGCACGTTTATGTCACACATTCTTCGGAACCACAACTGCCCATGGTTTGCTGTTCATGTGCGAAATGATATTCAGCGGGTTCCATTTTTGGCTGCAGGAAGTTCACAAGTCGGGTTGAGATGAATCTAAGCAAATATTTTGTGGAGCGTTAGTTGTTAGTTTTCATCACTAAACTTCAAAGAACAATTTCCTCATTTTTAGTTGTCATGGGCAGCGACGATAACTTGATTCTGATTTTGTATTCAGTAGCGGCGGAACATCTTCGATTAAGGGGGGGGGGGGGTCACTGCCGACTTTTGATCCCATTCTTTCCATGCAACGTCCATAGGGCTAGTGTTAAAATGTCAAAATCAAAGGGGGGCACGGTGCCCCGGTGCCCTCCCCGTTCCGCCGCCTATGTTTGTATTATGTGGAAGGTCTTCACTGTATTTTGTTAATTGCTTGACTAACTGAAGTGCGATTAGCATTGTCCCTCCCACTGCCCTGCAAAACTTTAAAAAAGACAGGATTTTATCATAGGGTTCCGTTCGTATTTCGTCCGTATTTCGTTATTTCGTTCGTATTTGTGTGTACCTATTCCTCGTGTGTGACCTGCGTGGTGCCTCACTTAGAGCGCGTACGCTTTAGCTTAGTTTGCATAGTGACAAAAGTATGCAAGTAATTGTAAAAACATGACCTGTAATGAATGCAGCTGTCAGCTCAGGACGCCAAACATGAAGTTCGAGGTGCAATTTCCCGGCAATTTCCTTCTTCCAAAATATGAGCTTGTTGTTTGCTGAACACCATGCACACAAAGTCATTGACATTTCCAAGTGCAATGAACAGTAATTGTGACAAATAATGATAGACCACTTTGATTAATTTGAATATTCAAGTTCTAACCTTTACGACCTCATGCTGTGGAAACATTTATTAAAGCTGTATTCAACATAATTTATTGATGGAGAGTCTTACGATTCATCGCAGCTTGAGCACTGAGCAGCCACTTTGAATATAAAATGTGAATGTCCGTCTAACTAATGTGTACTTGCCTGGGGTGTGCAAACTGCATTATTGCATTCCTTAGGCACAAAACAGTGTTGAACTCCCATTGACCGAGGGGAAGGGGCGTTAAATGCGCCTGCCGACTTTTCGCGATAACTCGAGAAGGAATCACACGATCGACTTGAAATTTGCTACAGCTTCTCTTGCATCAATTGTGAATCATCTGACAAGCCCTTTTTTGGAATCTGTTGTTTTTTAGGCACAAACTAATTTCTGACGTCACTGCAAGCCGGCTCCGGCCGAAATGTGGCATATCTCATAAACTCGCTGCAAAGCGTGCTATTGACAAAGTTGAAAATAAAAACCACCATAGGCGTTGATTATAACGCTCTACAATACGAATATCTCGGATTCACGAGAAGTTACTTTTTGGTACAAGTTTTCCCTATATTTTGGTTTTTGGTTTTTACTACAATTTGTGTTTTGCAAAATTTTCGAAACAAAACGGAACACATATGACAGGGTTATGTGAGACAAAGGTACAAATTTCAGCAAGATATCTCAAAATTGACCCAAAATCTAATATTTTACCTCTCAATAGGTACTGTGTCCGTCCAGTGATGACTTACTGATTTTGAATGTCATTCTTCGAACGCATCATCATATTACAGGGAAACAAACGTCACCGCTGGATTTCTGGGAGCACCTGCATCTGTCGGACACCTTTTTTGTTGAAATCGCGCAACTTCAAAAGTTCAAAAAGTTGACCTTTTTGACTTGACCCTAACCTGGCCTTCACCCTTGACCCGGGAGCTGCTGGTGTATTTCGCCAGTGCCACCCACCATTTGCTGGGGGGGGGGGGGGGCGTTAAACGTCCCCAGCCGATCACTCGAGGATCAATAGACGCAGCGAAACGTGCAAGAAGGCAAGCGAAAGAACGCGACAAGACGCTTCTAGTGAGAACTTGAAAAATTAACCCGCGAGTTGCTGGGGGGGGGCGTTAAACGCCCCCACTTTTTTCGCCGGGCCATAGCATAAAAACGGCGCGCCGCAGGCGCGCCAAATTTTGGGTACCTGTAGGGAATTGATTGAAGTTTATTGTGACAAAGTTTCAAAAAAATCGGTCGGAAATTTTTTGAGATATCGAGGTTTTAGTGACGTCATGATTTCTGAGTTTTCGACCAAAAACGGCATATGTTCAAAAAATCATATAAAATCACAGAATAGACATACAGACATGCCGTAAACGCCATTAGACTGCCAATACCATGAATAATCAAATGGCTATCTTCGATTATTGATTATCGTTCCGCATTTTCCATAATCTTGAACTGAATCTTGGCAATTTTTCGTGACTACTTCACGACCATGATACATCAATTTCTTATATTGAACTTTTTGAGCCAAACACGAACACATATGATAAAATGAATGTCACTATCGTGTTCTACGCCCCAAATTACCTATTAAACATGTGTCACAGGCTGCGAATATCAGTTTTGATTTTCGGGGATATGTGCCTACCCGGTTGACCTGACCTTGACCCTGACCTATGCTTGACTGACCCCTACATGGAGCTGACACTCTTGTAGGCCTTATAAGATGGATTGTGCACCGTTTTCAAAGAGTTTATGGCGAGAGGCGCCCATTGCGAAGTCCTGAAGTCCATGCTACTGAAAGCCCGATTTCAGGTGTTTGACCTGACCTTGACCCGACCTGTGACCTCAAAATTCAACTTTAAAGTACTCATCTGAAGCGTCTCGTCGCGCTCTTTCGTTTGCCGCCTCGTGCGTTTCGCTGCGCCTATTGGTTCTCGAGTTATCGGCTGGGGGCGTTTAACGCCCCCCCCCAGCAAACGGTGGGTGGCGAAATACCCCAGCAACTGCCGGGTTAATTTAGAGGTAGCAGGTCGTGTCAAGGTCAGGTCAAACACCAGAAATTAGACTTTCAGTAGCATGGACTTTTGACCCTTAATTTAGCTTTAGCTAAAACTTTGCCAAAACATCAACGAGTTTCTTCAGCCAGAGGTAGGCTGAAGGCATTGACCCACTATAGTCCGATTTTTAAGCCTGTCTTAGCGTTAAAAGCGCTCTTATGAAAATCCCACGTGATGCCTCCCTACCCTAAACACTGGCCAGTTGTAAATTTCATCTTAGTCTTGATTTTTCTTTCGACTCTATATTCATTGTAATAGCTCGACTCGTGCCTTGCTTATTTGTGCACTTAAAGCGAGCAGACAGGCTTAAAGAATCTTACTGTAGTAGGCGATTTGTCATTTGTACGCTGATGATGTTCGCCGTCCGGTGTTTGCCGTATATTCTGTTTGATCAAGTTGGGACCGTCATACCGTTGACGCCGCGCTGCCCCTGGCGGTCATTTACTAAACTAATAGTTGCCCGTATCCATTGCACTAAGAGTAGGTGGCGGTACATGTACCGTGGCCTTCCTGGCCCAGCGCTGCTCGGCGCGGGGGCGCTCATCTTACTTCACCGTTTGTCGATCCATCCACACTTGCGGCATCGGACGCTGCAGCCTGCAGGTTTTGGGTAACTCATTTTAGCAGACACACAGTGATCAAGGTATTTGTTACCGAAAGCTCTGTTTTTTTATTGTGTATTTGAATACATTGTCGTTTTTTATATATATCTGTCATGGATAACACACAATTTTTATATATATTGGGTAACTGTTTTCCGAATGTGTCTTTTAATTCCCAAAAGATCTAGCTTTTATCACGACCGACCGGTATTATGCAAGCCGCTTAGAGAGAGCTGAAGGCTTCTGTTGGCTGGGTCAAATGGTTCACTTTGCATTCATTGATTTGATTCATATGTCACATTACCTACTTCGAGAGCTGTCGCTACAGGACTTTGGCCCTCGTTTTGGCAGTCCATTCATAAAATAATGTTTTCAGTATGCTGAAGCCGTGTGATATAAGCGTTTTAACATCGAAGATGCATAGAATTTACATAATAAAATCAAGGCAAATATTTTGTGTAAGCTTATGTTTTTAAATCATTAAAGGTATATCTTCACTCGAATCCTCTTTCACTGATTCAGGTGTGTTTTCTCGAAGAGTCTGTTTGATTTATGACCTCATAAAGATAAGCTCTTCAGCCACACAATTGGTCGTTGACACCAAACAATGGGGACGTCGCCTTGACACCACGCTGACACCAGTAACTCGGCGGCGAGTGGAACGCCACCTCAGTGTCCGCACTCCGCACTCACCCTCGTTTGGTCCGTCGCGACACATCTACCCACGGTCTACCTTATCGACTGCTGTTCTGCCGTCAACAGTCCGCAGCCCCTCGAGAGTTGACCTGTCGAGGTCGTCTTGGAACCCTCGTCTGTGGTATATTGCCCACGGGACGCGAGAGTGACGGCTGTTCTCGAAACTGTTTTTCTGAGCTTTTGTTTGTGCCATTCGATGTGCATTGCGATAAGTGTCCTCCGGCCGCACTTAGCAAAGATAGCAAAGTTATTCAAATGACTAACTTCCAACTCACCCAACCAATCTATCGAAGTCCCCTGAAACCGAGCCAGTCCCTCAAGTCTTTCAACATGTCCATCACAACATCTCCTCTGCTCGTGTGCCTACTGCTGCTGCTGTCGCTGACCTGGCTGACCTCGGGGGTGACCGGCGATGACGCGGCTGTATTCCTGCGCGCCGGCACCAGTCTCTCCTTGCCAGACGGCTCTGCGGCTCCGCACTCGGCCGTGTGGGCCGGCTCCTTGGCCACGTGCGCCCTCGCCTGTGTGGCCGTTCACTCGCGGCTCTGCCGAGGGGTGACGTTCAGCGCTGCAGAGAGGAGCTGTCTGATGCATACTGCGTGCACTGAACGGAAGTTGATCGTCGAGCCGGTGAACAGTAGTGGAAGAGTCAGCTACCGTCAACTCTACCCCAGATGTACAGGTGAATGATCACACTATGCAGAGGAATTGAATGGAGGTTTTTCCCTGTTGTCTTACATTCAAACATAACTAAAAAGTTATTAGCACGAGTTTTATTCCTCCCATTACAAATTTAGAAACAATTTCCTGTATTTACAATGTTTTCATGTTGGGTTATCACGCAAACTGTCGCGTGCCTGTGAATTGTGATGTTTATTCAAGGCGATCTAGCAAGAAGTATCTATATAGTGCTTGGACTCATTTCTTCTTTTCCTTTTTGTATTTTTACGAATTTTATGTAGCCATATATTTTGCTTGTGGAACGGTTAAGTCATTGTAGTTTATAAAAGATAATTCGTTTATCGGCAGGTTCATGTGACTGTCCTCCCGGATTCGTGCTGTGCGCCGGCCACTGCCTGCTGGGTCTGGAAGAACGGACCAACTACACAACAGCAGCCGTTAGGTGCGAGACACTGGGCGCCCACCTGGCCGTGCCCCGCTCTGACCCCGAGATGAACTGCATCATCCAGAGAATTAACCCCAAAAATAAAACGCTCTTTTGGCTGGGCGTCAACGACGTGGAAACGGAAGGAGAGTTTGTGGGTATCGATGGCTGCGGAACGGTCACCACTTCCTCCCAATGGTGGGCGAAGGATGAGCCGAACCGTGGCACGAAGGAAAACTACGTCATTGCCGGCATTAGCGGCTGCTTTGACACTGGACCTAAGATAATGAAACCGCCTATGTGCCAGCTCGCTGACTGCTACAAGCCGCAGTGTCTGTAAGGATATGCGTATTAGTGGTAGTAGCGGCTCAGAGAAGTCCAGATAGTAGAATGGCACGTGTTTCTGCCTCCTTGTCACTCCTGTGTTATTCTTATGAAGCTAGGCGAGCTAGGCAATTCTAGGCATTGATGGTGTGAATGCGATGCTCTATCCGAGGCTGTATCCGAGGCTGCAATATATGGGAGGTAGCAAACGACCAAGCGTTAAGCTTTGCCGAGGGCGTCATGAATTATCATTTCTCGTCCAAAATTAGCCCGCGCCGTGCTGGTGGTCGGAGTATTTCGTGTCGTGCTTGGGAGGGGGTGACCCCCCCTGTCCTGGGCCACGTAGCGACACGCACGGTAAGCGGCATTCAAAAGAGCGTCAAAAATAATGACGGAAGTACTTTTGCCATTTTTAGATCAAGCCAAGGGGCAGGTCACCAGAGGTCATCAAAAGTCAAATTTTGTCGATTTTAACATTTTTTTGAAACACCCGACGCTTAACTCGGGAACCAACAAAGCTACAGCGCGGAAAAGCGCATTCGACAGCTCTTTTACTGGCCTTTCTGAATATTTGCCTCAGATTTGACCTTAGGTCACGGTTTAGCCTTCATTGAGCAAAAACTCCAAAAATAGCCGTTTTTACAAAAAAGTTTTTGGTAATGACTCCTGACTCAAGAAAGCACCGACACTAATTTTGCCAGCATCGTGTTCCTCTCGTCAAGACGCGACGAATGAAATATAAGTCGACCTTGAAAGGTCATTTTGAAATTTTGACCACAGGTCAAGGTCATGGCCTGATTGGAAAGGGTCATGCTGCATATCAGTCGATCCGTATTGTCGAGCTGAACACATCTGACGTGTTTTCACCACTCTAACACGTCCCTATCAAAAGTTATAGCCAAAAAACTGCTGGTGACTTTTCCTGACCTACGGGGCACGCAGAAGGGTCAAGGGTGCAAGTTTCCGATTCACGGTGTCAGGCTTACCTATAAATCGATGCTTGAGAGTGTTTAGAACGACATTCGTCCAAAAGAGGCGCATTTAATTTATTTCCATTGACTTATAATGGAGAAGTCACAAAATTGACCTGACCCTAGGTCACCGATATAAAATTCTGAGATGATCGTTTTATACATCCTGTTACTCTTAGTAACCGCTAAAAGCTTCAAAGCGATCGTTCAGTCGGTGTAGCTTCAGCGAGCCTGTAAACTTTTTCTGAGGTAGGGTCACTTGACGTGACCTGGTGACATGACCTAGAACGACCCGGGTCTGAAATTTGAACAGCATGTGCGGAAAAGATGTATAAACAGGTGTACGGTGGCGCTGCGCGCCGCCTTTTTTGAGATCCACGAAAAACTTGAGGGGGGCGTGAAAACGCCCCCCCCCCTCCAGCACGGCGCGGGTTAACAAACCTCTGCTTAAAACATTATATAAAATCACATGACAAACACTGACTATTTGATTGTTAGCTCCCTGTAAGATTAAGCGTTCAAAATACATCTTTATTTTATGGGCCAAAAAAGCACATATACAGCATAACATAACAGCATAAGAGCCAGCACTATATAGCACTATATAGTTCCTCGCATTAACCGTCTGTGACTGGCTTAGCTAGCTGTATCGGTTCTACATAGTTTTAACCGTGAAAATTGTGTGGTGCTGGCTAGCTCAGCAATAAACCGTTGACAAGTATGACATGTTGTGGGGGACACATCTTAACCGCTTGTTAGCTCGTCAATTACTCAATTGTTTCGACGAAAAGGCTTAATTAATGATTTACAATATGTTGACAGTACCAACCGACCGAACCACAATAACCACCTAAGAGCAAACGGAAATGTTCGGCAATGGAATAGACCACCGCTTGAAAGCCTCGAAGAATTCCCGTCTGAACTCCCAGTCTCATAGGCGTGGTACAGAGGGGGGGGGGGGGGGGTGACTGGCGGGGGCTGAACCCCTCCTCCGACTTTTTGGCCGGGGGGGGGGGGTGGGGGCTCATAATGTATTCGAGTCCGGGGTCGTAATGTTTTCGAGTCCCATCCCGCTCCGCAGCTCGAGGCGACCAAATATGCGAACACCCAACTTTTCACGAAATGAAAACCAGACCATAAAACCGGAAATGAAGGATGGCGAACAAGTGCTCAATATCGTCATGCCCATTGGTAAATATTTTGTGTTATCGATCGGATCGCGACTGAGAGCAGACGCAATCCGTGGGCAATGGGCATCCTTTGTGTCCAGCAGACAGCAGCGCAGATCATGTGAGTTATTTTTAATTATTAATAATAATGTATTATTAATAATTAGTGCACAAATGCATATACAGATACGGAAACCTTAGGCAAGAAGCCTAGTCTCCCTGATTTAAAATTAAGTTAAACAGTGTACGACAAGGACTTTATCTTCTTTAACAATGTTTAATTAGCACGGCTTTGATTTCAAAGCTCTCACCGTTGACGTCTGCTTAAACAGCACGCACACATCGTTCTTTATTGACGTTTTATCTCCAAACATGGACATAACACAACGATGTACATTATACAATGTTCACATTGAACGCGTGAATAACATCCGCACACACATTAGCGCACTGGCGGTAACTTGGACTGACTAGCAGAGCCTTCACCGTGACAAAGCCCTGTCTGAGGACTCCTTTACGACCTCCCTCAAAGAGTACCTCTGCCTAGCAGAGGACGACACTGCGACGACATC